GATGCTGGGACAGCGGCATATGTATGGGTTGATGCTGGGACAGCGGCATATGTCTGGGTTGATGCTGGGACAGCGGCGTAGGCTTGCTGGTTATGGACCGCAACAGCAACGGGGCTCAAGTTGACAGAAGGCACAGGCCCGTACCCGTATCCATGAGCAGCGCTATATCCATATCCAGGATCTGCGCTATGGCTGTACCCAGGAACGGCTCTGTGCCCGTACCCAGGAACGGCGCTGAACCCGTACTCGGCTCCGTACCCGTTCTCAGGAACAGCTCCGTACGCGTGCCCAGGCGCGGCTCTGTACCCGTACCCAGGAACGTCTCTGTACCAGTACTGAGGCTCGGCTCCGTACCTGTACTCAGGAACGGCATTGTAGCTGTGCTGAGGAGCGGCTCTATATCCGTGCCCAGGAGCGTCTCTGTACCCGTATCCAGGGACAGCCCTGTACCTGTACCCGGGAGCGACGCTGTACCCTCTGTACCCCTTCGCCGGCGCGGTTCGCAGCAGGTTCGTATGATGCGTGACCGGGAGGTACCCGTAGCTCTGTCCGTAGGCCGGGGCTGCCGCGTTCGCTTTTGCCGGTGTGTGACTGTGCGGCTTGGTCTGCACGGTGGCAGGCGGCGCGCGGTGCTCCTTGGTGAGCACCCTGACAGGCAGGCGGGTGGTGGGCCGAGGTGCGCGTTTGGACGGCAGGGGGCAGGTAGCCGTGGTGAGCTGGAGCGTGGACCTTCTCGGCGGGCTGGCGGCGGTACCGCACGCCGCTGGCGCCCGTCTTCAGCTCGGCTCCGGCAGACTCCGCCTCGCTGGCGGCTGCCGTGACGAGCAGAGCCAATAGGAGGGAGCAGCACATCAGCTGGGGGTGGCGGAGAGCCCAGCTCAGGTGGCAGACGGCATGAGGGCGCAGCTCAAGTGACAGACGGCATGAGGACGGAGCTCAAGTGACAGACGGCATGAGGGCGGAGCTCTCTTGACAGACGGCATGAGGACGGAGCTCAAGTGACGGACGGCATGAGGGAGCGATCCCGCATATTTTGAATGTAACGCGGCTATAGTTTTCACTGGCATGGCATGCTATGTGGATCGGCGCTGACATCACATGTGAATACATTAGAGTAAAATGCACCGCGCGCGAGCGATAAAAAAGGAGTAAGCGAGACAATGCAGGTAATGTCGACTTCATATTCACGAAAACCAATGAAGACGGGGGTCTAAAGAACATGTCTGGCAAAACATTCTAGAAATGCCAAGGAGCGTGATATTAGAGCCAACGAAATTCACGATACGATCTCGCCAAACAATAACTGCAAAAATGAGATACCTTTGATTACTAGATTCACTGGGCATGAACAGGAGCATGGATGTAACTTATTCGCCGACGAACATAGTCGGTTGTCTCATGACGTCACAACATCTCACCTTCATCTTCGCCTGTGGTGTGCGCAGCACGGATCCCTGCCCACGACAGACTACGGTGGTGGCCGGCCCAGGGTTTATATACGCCGACTTCCTGCCTGATGTGCAATGTCACTCTGCGCTGACCCCCCCTCCCCCCCGTCCCTCCATCCGGAACCCAAGGATGTCACTGGAGTAAGACCGACTCGGCGTCCTGTGCGCCGTATTTCCATGTTACCGCGCCCAGACGGTGCAGGGCACGGGGCGTGGGTTTGAGGGCCGGTCGTTACACTGAAGGCCGGTGCGTCACCCCGGGAATGCTGCACTGTTTGGAGCTCGCTACGAGCATCCGCCGTGACCGGGTCTGCGAGCATTGGTTGGTCAGCCACGCATGTTGGCAATAACCTCGCAATAACGGAGGTCCAGTTTTACTGTCAGTTTACAACCTCACGATAGACGAGGGCCTGCTGGACAGCCAGCTCACAACCTCACGACAGAAGAGGGCCTGCTGGACAGCCAGCTCACAACCTCACGACAGACGAGGGCCTGCTGGACAGCCAACTTACAACTTAACGATAGACGAGGGTCTGTTGGATATCCAGAGTAGGAACCCACGATAAACGGGGGTCTGCTGGACAGCCAGCTTACAACCTCACGATAGCGGAAGGTCTGCAGGACAGCCAGCTTACAACCCCACGACAGACAAGGGCCCTGCTGGACAGCCAGCTTACAACCTCACGATAGACGAAGGCCTGCTGCACTACCAGTTTGAGAACACAACTGCTGCTTTAATGCAATGCAACTGCTGATCTTGTGAAAGACGATTTCATACGTATAGGTACACAAATTTGACTAGCACGCACTGTTTCATAGAAGATATATCCCGCGGCCACTCGGGGTCTCTCAAATACCCTTCGTGTAAATTTCGTAGGATGCTCTGGGCCTTTCTGATGAGGACCACCCAATTTTTGATGTCATATAATCGATTCGGCATTCTTGTTCACAAATATGTTTCGACGCAAGGTCAGGACGCAAATATATTGCGAATAGCGTTGAAAAAGGGATCATTACCTTCTGAAAGATGACAGTCCCCATTCATCACCTACATAGCTGCCAGAGCTGCCAGCGACGCAAACGTTGTTAAAAATGATTGTAAATCGCCTTTTATCCATGGAGATGGCATAGCTCAGTATGGCAAGCAGTGGCACCTCATCAAAACCCTGAGCTCGTTAACAACGTGGAGCTTCCGCTGCTTTGCAGTGTGCATATCGCAAGTCCCTTGATGGCAGTCATACCGTAATTACTCACCAATAAGTCCTGCAGGCACTCATTAACGTTCACTTGTGCGCAGCAACACAATAAAACCGCGACCTAGTAATACAACAAGCAAACTTGCCTTGAACGGAAGTGGTGAGGAAGAACAAAACGCTAAGAGTTACCGTTGCCAAACGCAGGAACATACGCACCGCACAGAAGATCATAAAAAGATGGACGCCAGTGGTGGTAACAGCCGCGGGGTTGGACCAAGCGCCCGACCCAATCTTACGGAAAGCAATCGAGACAACTGTGAAGCGTCTCGAGCCATGATCACCAGCTGTGATGCTTGCCTAAACACAGACTGAATTGATCTTCACTAATTGAATGATGGGTATGTCTACACAATTATAAACTAACGTTATGTGTTGGCTGTGTTTTATTTGTTAAGGTGAGGAATCGCGGAGACTTTCCATTATTCTTAAGCAAAAAATGCATGAACCGTAAAATTTTAACAACTTTTTCACATACTTGTTGCTTTAATAAACCTCCATTTTCTTATACAGCTCCCAGATTAGCTTGATAGCCGCGAGTTGATCTTATGTTTTCTAGTGTTCACGTACGGCTCAGTGCGTCGCTGGAATAGAGGGAGCGGCACTCCTGGTTACCTGTTTCTGCGTAATGGCATTAAAAACGAATGTGCAGCATTCTTGAAATTGCAGTTTCCCATTGCCGGGCTGGAATTTCCCCTTAGAATGCCTCGGGCATTTCTATGAAGTTATTTGCAATTGCTACGTATTCATTTACAAAATCTCACCACTTCCCTATCTCTCCTTAGTACGCAAGTCTCACTAATGCCTCACCAGGTCGAGCAGAAGACACACAACGTACATTTGTCTGTTAGAATAGACCGTACCGAAGTGACATAATATGATTCCACGCATATCCTTTCTTGGAAGCTCAAACAGCTTATGCGCATATGCTATGTCAGCGTTCTCATTTTATGCTCAATAGTGGACAGGCTGCGGTTCACCGTCACTGCTCGTAAGTCCCCCCCCCCCCCAAAAAAAAACGACATAAGGAGATTGTGGTTGTCATGCCAGCCGTTCATGTGAGCTCATGTAGCTCTTGACACCAGGCCGGGAACCGCGCACACCTAGCCTCGACCACGGACCACGCGAAGCTCATTAAGATTTGAGGGTTAACTTCCTGCCAGCAGGCATGCTCAGCCATATCACACGGTGCAGCCCAGCGAAAAGCCATTACCGTAACTCATGGTCCACTGAAATGGGGGCTGTTTGGATGCCTTTGAGGGAGGCATAGACATGCCTGAAGCCACTTCAGCTCGCTACTGTACGCATGTAGGCGTGTTTTCTTCTTTCGTTGCAACGTTTCTCATCCCGGTGCAGTCATTGCTGCAGTTTCTTGGAACCGCAAGCTGCCGCGGTCCACCAGTGTTACAGGGTTCGACGATGGCTCGCGGTCGCCCAACGCAGGCCATAGGCCACCAAGCGGTGTCTGCATACTATTACACCTGAACGAATATTAAAGTACCAACCGCCATGGTGGCACTACTTTTGCGAGCAGGCAAGGACACGCGACTTTTAGTGAGCGAGCAAAAAAGCGTTCTGGGACCTCGCATACGCGAGTTTCTTTCTGTGTCGTTTAGCACTGTTTTGCTTGTTACTTTTACGTGTTTTACTCGTACAAAGTGAGCCGGATCGTGTCATATGAGTCCGACAAGGAAAGTGGTTCGTCGGTTAACGATGTTGAATGACGTCACTTCTGTTACGTCCGCACGCTGCATACAAACATGCCATGTTAACATCCTACAGCTCGTCTGCGTTGGGTTGTACGATGTATTAGACAGTATTGTTAGCCTCTTGCTTGAAAAATAACCATGGAAAGGAAGAGGTATGTGTACACATTTCGGCTTTATGCCGAATCAGTATTAAAGTCAAAATTTTCAACTTTGAATTTTGAATTTGCCTTCTGACATTCCCTTCCATAAGGGCATATAGCCGAAATATATACATATAGTTCTCATTTCTCTTGATTATTTTGTGATGACTTAAGCTAACACTAGTGTCTTATCTACATGTATATCGTCTCTCGCAAATGCACTAAACAACTTTGTTTTCGCAAGAGTGATCAGATGAGATTTCGCAAGAAAGATCAGATGGCGTGATACGGCGTCCAACCGCGCCAGGCTCGCCGGTGCCTGTGCTGGATATGCCCCCAGTCGCCGGCTAGGGGCATTTGCCGCGATGTCGTTGCGTGCAATCGCTCAGTCTCTTGTGATTCAGTGTGCGGATCAGTATCTCAGTATTCAATATGCGGAAGGTCTCTGGTTTAATTGCATATCTTGTAGTAAGAACCAGCTGGCATTAGTTGGCATCAGCGTCATACAGTTCACCATAAGTGCTCTCATCACTGTCTTTGGATTTGTATTCAACTGAATGTGCCCAGCTGCGATGGAGACTCACGCCAGGAAGGGGAGGCTAGATCCAGGAAAAGAGTGGCCTAAATGTCCGCTAATCTTTGGTTTCCAACTGGTTTGGTGAACTACAAGTTCAATGTACCCACATTTTGGGTGCGTTCGTCGTGCCAGCGTCTTTCCAGACATGCCTCCTGACTCGATGTATACTGTTTCGATCATCAAAGTTATCTCACATGCCGTCCATAATGCGCCTGACCATACTACAATCAAAGCGAAGTGTATTATGTTCTAAAAGTCTGCCAATAAAGTAAATGTTGAGTGTTTTCGTCGAGGTTACAAGCTGGCAACATTTTCCTAGTCGCAGCGGTGCGGCGGTTTTTCAGCCGCCTGAATGGTGCCGCTGGGTACGTCCGAACGTCGGCACCTCTCAGCCTCGGAAGCTCGAGTACGGCGAGTACGTGTAGTGGTGCACGCCGCTGTAGTAGCCGCCGGTACCGGGGTAAGCAAGGCCGCCGTAGCGGCCGTAGCCGCTGTAGCCGCCGTAGCCGCCGTAGCCGCCGTAGCCGCCGTAGCCGCCGTGGCCGCCGCCGAGGCCGGCCGCGAGTCCGCGGGTATATCCCGGTCGAGTGTAGAAGCAGGAGGACGGCGCGTGGACGCTGCTGCTGTAGCCGCCGTAGCCGCCGCTGTAGCCGCCGGCGTATCGGGGAGGGTATCGGGGGGTGTAGCCGCCGTAGCCGCCGCCGTAGAGGGCGCCGCTGGTGCCGGACAGGCGCGAGCAGCAGCAGACGTAGCCTGGGCGGTAGCCGCTGAGGCCGCAGGCGGACCGGCCCTGTCGCGCCGGTAGGATGACGTACCCCGGCGGGACGATGGCCAGTGTGACCGGCTCCAGTGCAGCCAGGCAGGCGACGAGCAGCAGCGGCAGCTGACGGCACACGGGACACGGTCAGCGGCAGCTGACGACACATGGGCACGGTTAGCGGCAGTCGACGACACATGGGACACGGTTGGCGGCAGCTGACGACACATGGGGCACGGTTAGCGGCAGCTGACGACACATGGGACACGGTTGGCGGCAGCTGACGACACATGGGATACGGTTGGCGGCAGTTGGGGAGACTGGGGTGCTGTTACCAGCACCTGGGTAGAGATGGGGTGCTGTCATTGACACCTGGGGAGAGATGGGGTACTTTGGCGGCTCGCTGGGAAGCGATGGGGTACTATTACCAGTACTTGGGGAGAAATGGGGTACTGTTAAGGTTCGCTGGGAAGGGATGGGATACTATTATCAGCATCTGGGTAAAGATGGGATACTGGTACCGCTCACTGGGGGGAGATAAGGTATTGTTACTGCTCGCTAGTGAGAGATGAGGTGCTACTACCAGCATCTGGGGAGAGAGGGGGGTTCTATTACCAGCATTTGGGGAGAGATGGAGTGCTGATACCGCTCGCTAGGAGGAGATGAAGCGCTGCTAACTGGACTAATGGGGGAGAGGGTCTGGTGAATCACAACACATGAAGAAACATTGAGCACATCCGTGTGTTCAATGTGGCGTTTGCTCAATATCCCTTCCAGCCTTTCGGATCATTACGGACAGTATTTAATGCGGGGCCGCTCCTGAGTCTGGCTCTTGGTGGGAAAGCTCATCGCTCTGCCTTGTCACTCACCACTCTGCCTCGTCCATGGGGAAGCAGAGGCAGGCGGCGCTAGCAGCTGCATGTCCATGATCAGAGCCCAAACGCGGTGGTTTGTGCCTTTAAGCGGGGAGGCGGGGACTATAGGGACCCCTGTAGCTACAATGGGGAATGGTAGGCCTGTTCGGTCCCTCTGTTTATGCACCGATTATATCAAAGTATAGTCACTGCGGTGTGTGCAAATGACCACCGATTACAGGGAGGAGTGGTGGACTTGCCTTCTACAAGTACCGCATGGGAATTTGCAACTGTCCGGGCAAATGTGGCGGCATTCCATTTACCATTCCTAGCTCACACCCAGTGTCACCAGTAGCTATGTCTACGTGTTTCTCCTCTGCTCCTCCACGGACCGCGTCCACGTACCTTGAACATGATGGCAAGGCGAAGATGGGCAGTACCGGTCGTTGCAGCAGCACCCGGCTTTATATGCCGGCGCAGCAGTCGGCCCCCAGCGTCGCGACGGCCAGCCGCCGACCACGTGACCATCCTGCCTGCCG